TGAATCATTAACCTTGGTTAGGTCTAATGATGTATCCCACAGACATCCGAGAGTGATTTTTCGTAGGGCCTTTACGACTTCCGTGGAATAAGGATTTTCATAGATAATAGCAATAACAATAATATTATTATTATTATATACCTGCCAGAATCATAAACCATTACAGATGAAATTGAAGTAAACTCGTCTCACCTTTCGATGTACCGCAACCATCGGCACCTCAGTGTCCTTTGTTGTTCTCTCTGACAGATATCTATACATTACCTCTAATTGTCTACCAAAAAATAAGATTGGTTTTTGGGCCTATCGTACCTTCTAACTAAAAACAGAACTAAAAACAGAATTTACCGAACATAACACTATATTAGGACCTTAGGTTTGAGGGGTTTTTGCGTCAATAGGACGCAAATAACTAGAAGTTTGTACGCATAACATTAACTCTCGCTGTGAACCTTTTGTTAGCTATGTTGTCACTATTAACAACGTCGTGGTTATTGTGACCATAGACTGTAGACTGTAGACTGTCGGTGCATAGTTATGTAGGTGTTCTGCAAAGCTCTCGTCAACGTCTTAAAAATAGGCGTTCGTTAAGGTTAACCAACAAATGTATACGGATATTGCAATCGGAATACACGTGGGTACCGCGACATGTAGCCAATTACTAGCTGGTCTGGCTGGCTGGCTGGCTGGCTCGCTACGGTTATTCTATACAATTCTGTCCTGTTTTTCTGTAACCAACGTGGGAGGGAATCAGAAAGTCAGCTTCCCGCGGGAATGCATCAGCCCGCACAGAACCAGGCCTTCACGTTAGCAGTGACACGAACAGCTAGCGCGTCTATAGATCAGCAAAAGTGGGAATGGCAGAATTGTTTGTCGTCAACGTCGATAATGCCGCTAGCTTCGCGTTAGCTCCGAAACTTGCTTTGGTTTCGAGCGCGCGGCATTCTCGTAACTTCCTTTCGATCGTAGGCAGATAGTAGGTGCTCAAATCGATGGAAACGGCACCAGTAGCAACTGTGGTGGCACAGACCCACACTAAGGTCAACGGCACGCCAAGGGATTGACGCCCTCCTTTATAAGCCTCTGACTTTGCCGTTACAATTGTCTATGGCGAGTTGCTACTGTTTACGTCAGCGCTACAGGCAGTAGGGCAATAGTAAGGGCCAAAAAATGCTGACTGCGGTTTGATTAAGACTAAAATAGAAAGGTCCTAGATAAGTATTAATTTCTATTTTTCCGCTCCTTGACTTGGCAGCGGCGCAAATTAGCCGGAGCATTTTTGCACTATGATGTTACTTCATAGTTATTCTCACTCTAAATTCATGCTCGTAATGCACCTACTAGATACCGTACGACTGTGCACCAGATAAAATACAGTGAACTTCACTTCATAACTGAAGTGAGTGAAACATAAATCAGCTATTTAACAAATATAAACTTGTGAAATGAACAAAGGTAAACAGGTGGCTATTTTCGTTATTGGCCACTGACTGTTACACCAGATGCGAGTGCTTAAGAAAGATATAGTAGAGCCTTTAGGAAAGAGATCAATATGCTAGGACATCCCGACGACGGTAGAAATGCGGGGCGCTGAACATAGACTCTTTACATAATAACACGGCGGACGAAACGGGGGGAGCTCGCGAGGCGTGCCGGCCGGGCTCATCGGCTGGTCAGCAAACTTACAACACTATTCAGGCATTTGTTCAGGTATAAACGAACCGTGTATGTTATTATGGCTATATGTCTGGCGCGGTTATTACTCTGCCGCTGGCAGATTCCGATGACGATCATGGGGATTGGGTGAACACGCTTATTCTCGTTGTCTCGCGTACTCCTAGTGGATCGGAAGGAGTCGAGCCAACCGCCCGATGCTCAGAAAAATCACCTTTTCCGCCCAAGTTTTGGCCAGCTTGTTAGCGCTATCGATAGTGTAATACACGCTTGTAGTATTGAGAATGATGCTGCCAGCAGCGGCAGCCAAGCTGTAGGAAAGATGGGCGCCATACGCCGGGAGAACAACCACTTGCTAATCGTGCTTGCAGTGCGGCCATGCATTGTAATCTTGATCCTGATCCGTTGCTGTTGCTGCAGTGCGCCACTATATGTGTTGCCGTAGAGACCTCAACTATATAACCAATACAATATTACGGCTGACGCAACAACGACTGATGTATCTATAGGAAAAGCGATTAAACTGCCGCACGAAGCAACGAACGAAGAAAAAGGCGACGGCTAGAAAATCTCGCCAGCATCCCTACAAAAGGTATGCCAGAACCAACAGGACAAGGACAAGAGCGTGCGAAGGAACAGCTACAGCGGCGATAACAGAAAGCTACGACCAGATCGGATCAATCAGCACAGCATGATATGTTGTCAGACCAGTTCAACGTGTGTCGTTCCGCTATGCTCTATAAGAACTGACTCATAGCGAACTCTAACACCGGTAGACATAGATTGAAGTCGGTTAGCGAGGGTGTGCATGCAAAGTGAACGTGAACAATAGTAATTTTACCTCGAGGATAGGGCAAATAGCGAGAGTTCCGAAGGTTCATAGCAACGCATAGCTTTCAACTACCTATATATTTGATATATCTGGATTTAGTTGATGATGAATTTGTTGCAGTTAGTAGAAAAGCAGCGTTATCTCTAGAGAGAAATAATACACGATACAAGTGTCCTTCAGTATAAGGAACAATGGAAGAAAGGTCTTCAAATCAGGGAGTCGGCTTTGACGACGGTGCGAGTTTATATAGTATGTATGAATTCAACGTATTTATAGCGTTTTAGCATGAATTTCTACAGTGCGCCGATTTTTCAGCGGCGAAGCTGTGGCAACGACGACGGCAGCGGCGGCGGCGGCGGCGGCGGCTCGCTAAATGAGATCGTGACACATTTCTGTATAGCGCTTCTCGGTTACGTTAATAAATTCCACGCCATCATCATACAAAAAAAAGATACCAAAGCTGGGCTATTATTGTTATTGAAATTCTGAATGTAATTGACCTTTTGGCCTGATTGTGACTCCAGTTTTGTAAAAACATGTCATAACTTTTCTAAACTGAAATACTCTACAATACATCCCTTCCTTTCACGATAAAAAAGGAGATGAGAATTATGATAGGGCTTAACGTATTCTCGTCTGTACACATGTGTAGGTAAATGAAACACGCACGACATGCGATGTGAAGCACCGATCACTTATGAAGGCTTTATTTAATTACGAGTAAGTTGATTTCCACTTAGCAGACATATATTGCTGAGCGAATTACCGCAGCGCCGAACGCTGGATGGTTGTCTTCGTCGGTTCAACATTAAACGATCTGCCACGACAAAAACATTCATCTCTCGTTTCGGGGCCCAGCAAAAGCCGCAGCAAAAACAACAGCGCGGGAGAGTCCGCTCCCGCTAACATCAGCTTCGACGGACATCAGCGACCGCTATATATACACTATGTGCTTGTGTAGACGGCTAGTCGTCAATGCTGCCTTTGTCTGCGGCCTTTATGCTGTCGCCGCGCCGTACGGTCGAAGGACTATTATCACATGATTGTTATTACGTTAGACGCGCACAGAGACAGTTAAATGCATACATCCGTAAAAATCAACCTACGCTCAATTCAATCAAACGCTTTTGCGTAGTCCAGAAACGAATCAACCGGTCGCGAATTTATTGAGGGTGGCGTCGCTGAAGTGCGATCGAGTTATCACGAAAGTCTTGCTATCGTTTTTGTCGTTAGCAGCGCCGTCATCAACTTCGACACCGCCAAATTGACATGAATCCATAAATAACAAAAAGAAAAAACGTTTTGATAAACGAACACAAATCATTACCATAACAAATCGCAAATTGCACGCACTACTTTAGCAACAATAGCAGTAGGTAATGATGGCAACCGCGGCAATTACATCATCGATGTTTTCCTCAACGGTTCATTGAACTAGGGCCGATAGATGGAATACGCATCTCTTCAATGATAATTTGATGCCAGCCAAATTCACAATGACAATTGTATGTGGTACGAGGGCTGTCGAGGCGGGGGAAGAAGATCATAAGGGGCGAACAGGGACGCTCTGACGTTGAACTGATCGTCGTCACTGTTTTTGTCGAATTGGCATTATAGCGTCAAATATATAGCGTACTAGATTATTCTTTGGATTGCAGTCACAACAAGATCAGCGACTTTAGAGGCGTTATGCTATTGCACCAAACGCTACCCACAATACCCATTGGGAGGGGCAACTGGAAAAGCGGGTGATAATGGTTCAAGTGGACGCTAGCTATCAGCTGTCAAGATCCGAACCTTTGCTAATATGTCGTTAGGGAAAGATGACTTTACTAGAACGAATTTTACAATGTCAATGATATGAAAAAAGAAAGAATCTCTTCGAAAATTAGAGAAAACATAGAGGACAGTAGAGTGCAGACAAAAGAGTTGAACCTTGTTCACTGTTTTGTTAGATCACTGCAGCTGTTAATGTGATTTAGAATAGGTTTCGAAAATTAAAATCATCAAATATATCCTCAAAGCCTCGCTTGCGAAGTTATGTTCTTTTCATGGTATAAGTTCTATAGGATTGGTAACAGTAAGATTATTATATTTCCAGATTTAGACGGTCAAAATAGTTATGGTAGTTTATCAAAATATATCCGTAAATCTTAGTATTAAATAATCGGCTGGTAATATCAAGACGCTGATTACTAAGCCGACTATATATATATATATATATATATACAAAGTGTTGACATGTACCACTAAATCCCGCCTAGCTGTTCTATATTACCGGGGTACCTGGGCAAAATATTCAATCATTTAAAATATCTACATAGTGAAAATAGAAAAAAGAGGAATGTATAGGATAACTTCGGATTTTCTAATGATAACTTTATAAGATTACCGATTTTGCGGAAACCGAGTGTTTTTCTTTAATATTTATATATTTATTCCATCGTGACTTTGTTTTATCCGCCTGTTCGTGTCGTGTCTGTTGTCTTTTCAGGTTTTGTAGGCCGATCCAGTGACGTGGCTATCAATATCACACGTATCGAAAAAAGATGACAACCCTTTTGGCTAGAGTGGATACCTAACCGGACGATCCGACGGCACGAACGGATCCAGTTAACTTTTTCCCGGGGTGGCAACTCACTGATACGAAAAAAAGAAAAAAGAACACTGTTCCACATAAAAAAGAAGAGCAAGAAAATTACTAAAAAATAGCCCTTAAGCAACGTGCATACGTGGGTAAATTGACGTGTATAGAGTGGGCAACTGTCCCTGATCAATCGCCCACCTTGACGAAGATGACATCCAAATCGACGGGAAAAGATAATCTGCTGGAAAGTGGGGGGACATATCATATACACAATGGCGATGCTCAAAATGGCCATGTTAACCATGCCTTCTGCGAAATCCCGTTAGATTCCAATGGAAATGGCACTCTTAAAGAGGTAAGAAAAACGTCTTTCCAAGTATCAATATGTTGGCTATAGGTATATGCAGAGATTTGACTACAAAGTTTTACGGATCAATCTCGTTATAGCTTTTTTTAAAGGAACTTTTGAACTGGCTTGATGGTGTGGGAAAAACGGTGAACCTTTCTAGTACTTTTTTCCGTAAGATGCAGTAGCCCAAAATAGTTTTTCTTCCATTTATCGCGAAACATAATGCTCAGTTTAAGGGCTTCTACCCAGAAATTTTGCAAAGTATATATATATATATATATATATATATTAGCGTTCAATCTAATACTTAGCAGGTGTTAAGAAAACTTAACTTTCCGTCATTTACGTAAATACGTTTTTTAAACCAAATATTTTCTCTGTTTTTTTGAGCCCGTACTGAAGGTTAAATATTTCCTATTAACTATGAAAAGGGATAACACTTTTGCGAATTCTCTAACTGCGAGACACTTATTTATGGGGCTATTTTTAGTCATTTATATATATACGTCTTACATTTTAAATAAACTAGTGTTTATTTAAAATGTAAGTGTATAGAATGCAAAAATTACATCGTTATGGGATATCAGCAGCTGTGGGTCAGCTCTGTTAATAAGGCATTCTCTGCCCTCGTTTTTAATAACCCCGTTGATTCTGGTAAATAGTACGATTGCTAATATTCGTGTCTAACCTTATACCTAATCCAAAGAAATTTTACAGTTTCATTGGATTAGGGAAAATCCGGCTCAGATGCTTTCAAACCAATCTGGAAGTTAGGCTTAACACTAAATCATTTTAGAAAACAGAATATGCTCACTGTAATTTCAGGGAGAAAAACATGATGAAAAAATCTGCATGCTAGAAATGCCTGCCAACGGCGACGAGAAGAATCGCCAGCCGTCCCCAACGATAGTACCTGATAACACGCATCGAAAATATCTTTGGTAAGTCTGAAAATATCTTTGGTTTTGCCAGCATAGAGCCATTGTATTGACAATATATAAGAAGAAGTGGCCGTGTTAACTATCCGATCGTATGTTAGTTTCGGCCATGAGTTTTGTAAAAGTACACATTTTTCTAATTGATAGGGGGTGTCCATGGGCAAAAAAAAAAAGATGGATAGAGTTCTGATAGTGCGCCAGATAGAATACTACCAAAATCAATAAAATATTATCTTTATTAAAACTGAACAAACTTAGTTTTTCAACGTTAGCTAGGTATGAGTAGGTTATGAGAATACAGTTGACTGATTACGTGACTCGTCGCTGATCTGCCATGGTTCCTGTTGCTGGCAAGAGCGCTTCATTTGGTCCCTGTTCCTCCATTACCTGTCAACAACACAGCTGCAATCAACCGTATATCTGGCATTTCGCAGGGCGTGCTTAGATGAGTTTGGATTGAACACGCTAGTTTAACACTATGAAACTGCCGCTGCCTTGCGAGCGTAAGTCAGATCATGGAGAAGAGATGCTGAAGAGGCTGACGGTGTCCAGAAATTCAAGGACACAGACAACTAACGATAATAGTCTCTGCCTGACTGAAGATTTTTGAATAGGCCGGCAAAGGCAAAGATAGCTGCTACCTCAACTCGATGACCACTGCTTCGTACTATTCCAATGCCAATCACTCAGGCTCATGCTCAGCTATTTATTCGATTCTACGCAATTGAAATGAACAAATATGTGAACAGGCGAAAGTAACGGAGAGATAAATATCTCTTATGTAAGTCATACTTCGGCCAACTTTCATTTGCTCAATATCTACGCTCGACAGTTTTGGCTGAGCTTATTATGCTCAAGCAATGGTTTACCGCCGAGTCACGCTTAATATCATGACACAGAAACTGACACTAGAAGCTTCTATTTGTATCAACTCTAATCATTAATACCACATATAACTTGCATATATATCTCCTACTTGTAGCCTGCGCTATAAAAGTAACCTTCATAGGTTAGCTAATAGGCCAAACAGCAGTGCAGGAACGTCTTAGTTCTAGTTTGGTGTTACTCGTCTATGTCCTAACAGTGTCTGAGCTTTATTGTATTTTCTTTAATAAAACGTCGTTCTTTACTCTAGCTACCTAATAGAAAAAAGTAAGTACGTCAAGTTTCTTCTGATTGTTAATCACTAACAGAGGCTTTTGATTAATTTATGAAACAAAATCATGGAATCATAGATATGAATTTCGCATTAACTAATTAAGCTTACGAATAACGATAGCAAACTGTAAATTTTCTCTATAAAAGAAAAAAAAATTTATATAACCAGGTTTGCATAACATAAAACATTACCACATGCTTGCGTCGTGTTACACATTTAAAAATAGTATATCCTATTATTATTATGGGAAGTGGCATTCGTTCTTGCAGGATGGCTATGATGACCCTGTGATTCAAGCTGTTTCAAGCATTGCCGTGTAAAGACTTCGGCAAGGAGGGTCTCTGTTGGGCTGCCTCTGCTGTTACTAGCGGCTATTAAACAAAGTGATTAAATGTCATTGTCAGCAAGCAAAAGACAGGTGGGCAAGCAATGCAAAAAACTGCGAGCTTCTAAAGATTGTCGTTGAGGTCAGACTTTAGCGATGGCCTAAAAAAGTAAATATTGGCTAAGAATAGCCTATGGCGTAGTTTACGGTGCATAAATGAACAATAAGGTCAAAAACGTACTAGTGAAGGCATTGTGAGTTCCAAAGTACCTTAGAATGTTGTTAGATAGGTCGAAAAATCCTGTTTTTGGTTCATGGTGTTCAGTAAGATGACGTTCGTGTCCGCAAACTACACGTTTAAAATTACATGTTGTGGCCTGAAAGTCCGCTACCATTCTACTGACGCTATAGGATCCCATCGCTCTAAGTTTGATCATCTGATGGCAACACTTACTAGCAACTCGTTCTGCTGTTTGACAACGAGCGTGGTTGGCTCGGAGTAGTGTTCAAAAGAGGTGTTGAAAATTAGCGGTGCGTAAATTGTTTCGACAAAAATAGGCCTAACTGTCGGACTTGAGTCCCACGTTGGGGCCGCGTGAAGTAGGCTTTGTTCTGATAGTGCGCATAAGGGAAGGTATTGCCCAGAACGAGTTGAAGAAAGCCAAATAGTATTTGTATCAGTATTAATTTACTTTTAAGAAATCCCTCGTCACATTCGATTTCTGCCATCCATCTTTTCCACTGATATTGATTTTTATCTAACCAAATACGTAGGTTCTTTAAGGCAATGATGGGAACGTATTCTATAATTTATGTTTCTTTTTCGATAAGTAAGCTTCGTTCAAATCTGTAACGGAAACTTTAGTGGATTCATATTATGGCAATATAACAGATCAGCACGCAATTAAGCCGTAGAAAAGTAAACACGTTGCAGCCGTGCGTGGTTCACGTCTTTCAACGGTAGCGAACATAGCATGAATTTTTCTATTCAGCCATCGACGACTGAGCCACTGTACCGTAAAGCGCTCAACATCATGAGACTGCCTGTTGGGGCCCGCCTACAAAGGCAATGCACAACGGCACCACCCAAAATGATCGGAATAGTGGTTGTCGGCCTGGCTGACGTGCAGCTCCAAATTCGCGAAAAATTATTTTGGTCATCATTGGTAATGAAGGAAAACGGAGCTCGTATGATTACCCGCGAATCGAATATATCTGGCAGTATAGAACTAGCTAGCTAGCTAACTAACGATGGCAAAAGCAAGTCGAAATTTTCCGGAGATCTTGAATACATGAATGCACCATGGAGAACTGAGCACAGTACCATGTCTCTGTCGTATGCCGAGACACAACTAATGTCAATACAATTTCAATCATACGTAGATACGAATTAGCGTACCAGACGTAAACCCAGTGGGTAATTGCCTTTGGCGCCCGGGATCAGACCAAATCGGCAGGCAGTTAGTTGGTGGGTTCATCGAGTGGGGTAAGTCTACGGACAAGTGGCCCAGTAGAGTAAAAGCAGCACGTGCGCATAGGAATGTATATGAAAACAGTTTACGTTTAGTTACACGAACGAATGTGACCCCAATTTTATGCTATAGTTATGTGTTTATTGCTAGATTGTTGGCAAAGTCGAAGAAGTTGTTGCCATTGTATAGACGGGAAATCTAGCATAATGATTCGTGCGCGTGTTTGCCAGGTGGTACTGACGCAAAAACTCATAGCGAGCTGAGAGTAATGTAGGTATGGCACTTTGTGTTGAGTTTACAATCCCAGTTTCACAATACCAACGAGTTTCATTTATGCGATTGTATTATGGATAAGCTAGTGTAAAACATCTACGGAGTATCTTTGTTTTTTTCTCAAACATCGTAGTACAAATGGCGAATTAAAGTAAAGTGCTCCTCGATTCTTGTGGCATCATCATAATTTGCATATAATCAACATAGAGCATAAGCAAAAATAGCTTTTAGCCTTTTTCTTATTGTTGCCGCTATCGTATTTTGGCATAAATGTTTTTTTGTTCGTCCCATCTTTGTTGCTCTACTCGGTTTTGACAGCCGCATCCTCTGATGCGTTCGTTATTTTCCTGCCCGGCGAAACGTTCTCCCAATCCACAGGTAGAATGGCTGCGTGCTTGCAGTATGCTTCACAGAGGCCACACATTCATACACGCGCCATCACAAGTGTCAAATACTGCTGTGGCCTATGCCGTATCACTGCGGTGGCTGTTGCCGTCGCCGCTGTTAACCTTTCCTCTGTGGCAGCGACTGGTGCTGTTATTACTTCAGATGCTGCTTGGCCGTATGGGGCCTCTCAGTCGCTTGCTCGTAACTGCGCGCCCGCCTGAAGCCATAACACGGCAACGATCGAAGAACATAGACTGCTTACCGATCACCAGAACAGACGCCTTTCATGAGGAACGCAACGTAACGACACATAGCCGCACGGCCAGCATAGATGAAGCCTCATTCGATTCGCTTGCTCTTTTGTGAAGGGCGAAAGCTCTGACGGTCGTTGTTACTGTTTCTGCTGCTGTGCCCATCATCTTGAAAACGATAAGTTAGACATCGGTTGGTTTATCGCGAACTCGACAAAGAATCGAGTTAGGTGGAGCGGATCACTTCCCCCAAGGATGATATACGGCTGTACAACGCACTTCAGCTGTCAGAATCTGCAGGCCTTTTGTATGCGAACATTGTTAAATGATGACCACCTATGGCTATTCGGTTGCGGCCAGCTCGCGTCCGGTTGCTGCGAGCCGATTGGACACCTACGCTCGGGAAGCCAAAGTAAACGAATTTGATTGGCAAAGATTAAGTCTATTTTCCATCTTGGCGTGTATATCGCACAGGACTAACTGAAAATACTTTGAACGCACACACCGAACCCTGTGACTTGTCGGCTCAACCTGGGCTGGTTACTGTTCGACAGTGGTCTTCACTACCGTTTTGATACGGCTAATGATATAGACGATCTATAAAGACGCCGCTAGCCTTTAGAGCATCTTCTAGACAACGCCTGACGTGCTTTTTCGAGACGCTCGAGCGATGGGAGCCTTTGTGAGTCAGTCATGCGCTGGCCAGTGGTAAACGATGGATGCTATCCACGGGGAGTAAAAGGGGCCAGAATAAAATGTCTCCACACCTATGGTATCGGCGGGGAATGTTAATTACTAGTATAGGTTTCGAATGAAAGGGACACACACTATCAAACACCAGGGATGATGGGAGCTGACGGGACATTGAATGGAAGGATAAAGTATATTCACAGTTTTAAAATCGACTACGACTTCCTTAAATCTTCTTACGCTTACTTATCAAAAGGTGCAAGGCAGGACTGCAGCTTTTAACGTTGGATATTAGACAAATTCGAGTCCATGAACAATTATTACTCTTAAATGTGTATCGTATAAAAAGTGTCTCTTAACATAAACATCCAGTTAAATGTAGTCAATACTAAGTTCACATCGCAGTATCGGACGCTTGAGGCAGCCGCCCCTCTCATTATTACCAG